TTTCTAGGGCCCTTTTCGCCGGCTTGTTCCTCTTGGAGATGTTCGCCTCTATCTACGACAACGTCGCCGTCGGGGACAAAAGTAAGCAACTCACCCCATACTGGAAAGCGCTAGCTTTTGCTCGATTGCAGATAAGTGGCTGACTAGCTTCTCCTTGCCCAGGAACGCCTGCAGCCTGCTGGGGGCTGGGCGAGCCGCAGGCGACATCCCAGCCATCCATGGCATCCGCATGTTCAACGCCCTCCTTCTCCTAACCGCCCACAAGTCCATGGCTGTGCTGTTTTTGCCCTTTGCCAACCGCACGGAGGCCATCGAGGTTTCTGCCGCCCCCTTTTCACACGCTCCCCGTGCATTGTGGACTGTTTTCAGTACTTGGGGCGTCCGTATTCAGTGCTGGGACGAGCGGCCAGCCTCTACACCGACCCCTTCATCATGATCTCCGGCCTGCTGACCGCCCACTCGCTCCTGGGCAAGCTGGAGCGCAATGGGCGCATCAACGTGATCCAAGAGTACGTTTCCAGACTCTACCGCATCGTCCCTACCTTTGCCGCTCTCATCGGTTCGTAGCTAGTTGTAGGGGGGTAATTGGCGGCGTTTTTATCGGGAAATTCCAGCTTTTTGCACCTTTGTCTTGCCCTGGCTCAATGGGGGGCCCCTATGGAACCAAGTGGTCACGCATCACTCGGACATTTGCAAGCAGTACTGGTGGCGCAACCTGCTCTTCATACACAACTACTTCGGGTTCAAAGACATGGTACTTGCAAAGATTGCGCCACTGTTGAACGCGTGAACTTTTCATTCATTGTTCCAGTGCTTAACGCACACCCATCACTTGGGCATAGACACGCAGCTCTTCCTCATCTCCCCCCTATGGGTGTACGGGCTGTGGCGATGGCCAAAAAGGGGCGCTGTTGCCTTGGGGCTGCTGGCGAGCCTCTCTACAGCCGCTCGCTACTACGTAACATTCAGCCGTAGCTTATCCAACTACGTGCACTTCGGGACCTCGTAGGTGCCACTCTTGGAGTAGACACTGCTTACTAAGCTAAGCTTACTACTAAGTAAATTGGGGATTTTCCGCAGGGTGCAGCAGCTGTTCGCCACGGCCGACTTCATGTACATTCTGCCGCCGCATCGCGCCACTGTTTATATAATGGGCATTTTTATGGGCGCGTTGCTGCGCCGCGCTGGGAACTTTGAGCTGAGCACGGTGCAGATCAGACTTGGCAACGCGTTGGCTGTCTGCAGCCTCCTGGTGGCCTATCTGGGGCCTTCCTTCATGAGCAACTTGGACTATGTGTACAACCCACACCATGCCGCGCTTTATGCGGCCTTTTCCCCCATCCTGTGGGTGGGCTCCTTTTGTTGGCTCATCTATTCCAGCCAGAAGGGCCACAATGGTGAGCTGGCGGCTGCTAACACATCTGCCTTTCTATGTGCCACTTCTTCCAGGTTTCATAGGGCGACTGTTCGCGCACCCCGTTAACGCGCTGTGGACGAAAATTTCCTATACAGTCTACCTGACGCAGTTCCCGGTGTTTTTCTACAACGTGGGAGTGACCAGGACGTCGCGCGAGTTCGGGTTCTTCACCCAAATCTTCAATCTGCAGGAATACGCCTGGATCGGCGCTCTGTCCGTCCTGATGACGCTGTGCGTCGAGATGCCCTTTCAAAACCTCAGGACTTTGATGGTGAAGCGCAGTGCTCACGGCGCCCAAGTGGTGAAAAAGACCAGTTGAAGCCGACTGCGTTTCGAACAATTCCCGCGGCGCTTTTTAGGTGTAAATCTGCCTCTTGGCGGGTATCAAATCTCCTTCTTCGCTGCCAGGAGCAGCAGGTCAACTAAGGAAGGTGTCAGGAGAGGGAATCAGGGTGCCACCGGTCTGAAACTGCCACACATTGTAATTCCCGAATAATAAACTAGTGAACCGCTTAAAGCCTAGCACGTCTGACCGATGCTTTCCTAACAAACTAAAGCACTTCCTTCGGCTATTTCGCTGCGAAATTAGGAATTTTATTGCAAAAAATCATCAATCCGGAAACTTTACCACAGAACAAGCAAAAGCAAACAGAAATCGCAAGTTCTACTGATTTATTCGCTAAATATCCATGTAATTATACAGTAAAGGCGATGTTCCCATCGGACGAACGGAACAAATAACAGCAAATTTAGCCCTACTTTAACACACTCGTCCGATGCGAACAAATCGCGCACATTATTATAGGAAACGCTTGCTGAAAAGGGCGTCCAAAAATAGATATCTCCACACAAACCCACAGAAAACTAAACCTAGGTTTTCTCCTAATAACTTAAGTCCCTTGCTAGAGCTTCCCATTAACATAAATAATTCTGGGCGAAAGTAGGATAAATGCAATTGTTGAGGGCAAGTACCAGAAGGAATATATAACGCCGATTTTTTAATTTTTCTCAAAAAATCATGCTGACCGGATGAAAACTGGTTACTTTGCACTGTTCATAATCGTTCGCCAGACTTTTATCCGACGGTTAAATTTAAACGAAGCGAAGGCCATTGGTTAGAAAAATCGGTTAAGTTAGATCGGCTAGCCAGAGGCACTAACCGAATAACTGGTGTTTTACGCCACTGGTTTTTCCTCGGGGATGGTTGGGCTGGTTACAACCGATCCTGAGCGCGAGCGTCCCTCCTCATTGATGCTTTGCTGGGAACCCGATCTCGAAATCACCTTGCCCTGGTTAAAATAAGAGTTGGAGTTCGGAAAAGCCGCGTTTCGCTTACATACTTTTACGTTCTCGTAGGCGCTACCAACTTTCTCCTCAATAGAGCGGAAGGATTCGGAATGACGCATTTGGCCCAGCTTATTGGTTATATTGCTGGTAAGTCCCCCGATCACCGACGAGGTTTTCTGGTATCTGAAAAAGGAAGCCAGTTAGAACCCATGGGAGTTTTTGCCGGGAAAGCGACTGAAATAAGCTACTTACATCGGCGCCTCTGTAACGGCCTTAGCGACCTGCTCTACCTTAGTTTCAACTGATTGATATCTGCGCAAAACAAAGGAACAAAACAAAAAGTGACTAAGCCTATCGGCTAGTGGGCTGAGGACTTACACGTTGCTCTCCTTTACGTTCTTGATGCCCTGGTTGATGTCGTCGGAGACCTCCTTTAGGAAGGTGATCCCGAGATTCTTCTTCAGCTCGGCGCTGCGGCGCATCTTGGCGGCCAACACCGTTCTGAGGGTGACTATTTCGTCCTCAATCTGCACCAACTCCTCTCTCCAGATCTTCTCCTGCTGCTCCTTTTCCTCAGCTGTGAGGTGGGAGAGATCGGGGGCCACATGGTCGGCAGCCATCGCTTCCTCTGCAACCAAAACAGTGGTTAAGTTTGCAAGTTTTCACCCTTGGAAAGGTACGCTTGCGGGGCCACTAAAACTTACCACTCTGGCTAAGACTAATGGCTAAATACTTCCTGAAGCTATGATCCTTAGGCAACTTGGCCAAGTACGGCTTGGTTAAGTCGCTGTACCTGACCCTGACTTGCTTCTTCACTTTGTGCTTGAAGAAGGTCCGAATAATAGCGTTTGCTCGCTTCACATTGAAGAACTCCGCTTCAACATTCAGTGACTCGTCGCTAGGCAAGGTGCTGGTGCTGGTGACTTCGTCGAAATCCAGCTGCCTCAGGTCGAAGATGTCCAGCTCATTTTCAAGCAAGTCGTACTCGTCCAAGTAGTCACTTTCAGTGTCCAGGCTGGGGGTCGAAGTGCTGTCGTGGGGGTTAAAATAGGGGTCCTCAATGTAGTCCAAACTGGGGCTCTCGGCCTCATCAGTCATTTCAGGGCACTTTGCTGTTGGCACATAGCAAACGCAGCCACGGGCATAAAGTACCGTTTCTTTACTAGGACTTTCACTTTACTAGCCAGCCAGGCAACCAGACATGCAGGCTTCGATTAAGCAACAAATGCGCTGCAAAGCAATTAAGCGAAGTCCGGTTGTTTCGGCTGTTGCTTTGTTCTCTACGTGGGTGATCAACACCAATCACGAAGTGAAACCTTTTAATGACACGTCACTAAACAAACCATAAAACCCAACCCGGTTGAACAATCCACTGAGTTTTGCAACCTGCTGCCCCAGAGGGCTTACTACTATCGAAAATGGGGCTTGCTCGGGGGGTGCCCCAATCAAGTGACTTGGCTTTTGATAACTTACCGACTGTGGGGCTGACGTTGCTCATCGCTACGTTGGTGAAAGGGACGGATTTCGACCTTCAAACAACTACAACAAACTGAAAAACTCGAAAATTTGGGGCCAAAAACACCGAAATAACTTAGGAAAATACTGTGCCGACTTGTCACTTTTGACACGGAGAATGTTGATAAACACAGAATATCCCCCCTAGGGGGGATATTCTGTGGTTGATAAATTTACCATTGGCGTTAATTCTCTGACAAGCGATAGACGGCCCGAGTGGACATAACCTCAAATAGGTGGTGTAATTTGGGGGGCAATGCTGCGAGCCATCAGCAACTTCAACCCCCTGCGGGGGTCCAGTGCCAGTTTGGCTCATTATCACTACACCGGTTACGATCCGTCTCTGTTGCCGCCCAAGAAGGCTCATCGCAAACCGCGCTGGGTGCCGGTGGCGAAAAGCAAGCGCTTTCGGGTGCCCCAAAGGTAATTTCGCTGCTAAAAACGAGGCGGCACTGAATCGTTTCAATCGGCAGGCCTAAAATCGATCAGGATGAGTATGTGGAGCTGTTGCGGCTGCACAACAACTACCGTAACAACGTGAAGTCGCTGAGGCACTACATGATCAAAAAGTACTGCGACAAGTTCCAAACCGTGACCAATCCAGAGGAGATTTTGGAGGTCTTTAAGGTGGACCTGGCCGAATGTCATGCAATCAACGACCAGTGGAATGCTAAAGTCAAAGTGGAGCGTGAGAGCAGAATAGCGAGGGAACTGCAGGAAGGTTTGTGTCGTAAACCTCACAAAGTATTTGCATTGCATTGCGTGCTTTACAGCCAAGGAGATCGCCAGACAGAAGCTTGAAGCTGAACAGGAGAAACAGAAGCAAATCCTGGAACTGGCTGAGGAAATTGTCAAAAAGGAAAAGGAGGCCTCAGCTACCTTCATTACGGCAGAAAACATCGACGAAGCCATCGATAATGCTCTCAACGACACAGTGGACTACAACTTTGCCATTGATAGCAATGGGGAGAAGCTGAGGGGCAGAGAGACGCGGCCTAGCGGGCCGCAGGAGAAAATCAGCGTGCGACGATAAGTCTGTACAGTAGGTTAATATTAAATAAACTATATCACAGCAAAGACTGTAGGAATGTTTCTCTGGTCTCCTGCTGCTCCTCCTCCACATCAATCGCGGTCCCAGTTGCAATGTTCTCCATATCGTCGTACTCCTTGTTTACCACCTCGCCCTTTTTGCCGATATTCACACTAAAGAAATTGGTCTTTTTCTTGGAAAGTTGCACTTCGTTCCTAAACTGTTTGGCCTTTTCAGCACGCTCGTAGGCCAGCCGCTCGTGCAAGTGCGTCCATTTAAAGTTCGACAAATACTTGATATTCCACCGGTAGTCGTAGTGTTTAGACTTTTTCCTCGTGCTAACCTGGGTGTTGTTTAGTAGAGTAGCCACTCGTTTCGCCACGCACTTTTTCTCGAACTCCACCCAGCCTTCAGTAAACTTCTTGTTGACTTTGTGCTTCTTTTTCTTGCTGTCGTCTTTGGGGCCTGCGAAACAGCATTTTAGGCCCTACTCGCTTTGAATCTAGCTGCCGACTACTCACCCTTGTCTAGCAGTTGAAGGTACACGCGCCCCACTTTGCCAAACTGGCCGAAGACTTCACGGACGGTCGTCACATTCATGTAGGGCGGGATGGAGGATAGGTAGATCAGGCCCCGCTTGGAGCGCTTGTGCTCGCTTGGGGCTTCGCCCTCATCCAATTGGGTCGGCATTTTGCTCACAATTGTAACTTCTAACTCAGCTTCAACAAATCACCACAAACTGGCACATTTTTGAGTCTTAACATAACCTCGCAAATGCAGAGACAGATAATAATAGACGGGGGCCATAAAAGAAATCAAGTAGTCGGGAGCCAACAGGCCCTCACCGGGGGCTGGGAGAACTAACGGAGCAAGGCTTGCGCACGGGTTTTTCAAATGCATTAAATAGTCATTCCGTATAAAAATGTTGTTTAAAGCCCCAACTTTCTTCTGTTTTTTCTTTGTTTTTCTTTTTCTGTTTTTTAACCTGAATGCTGTGTTTATTATCTTTCACAAACTTTTTATTCAATATCAACCAAATATTATTTAATATATATTTTTGAGATTTTGGTTGTGAATTGGCAAGAAAACCAACTAAAATCACGCTCTTGATTTAAATATAGCATAATGTTATTATCTAATAACCCCTGAACGCAACCAAACATTCTGATCATGCCAGTCAATAGTATAACCTTTAATTTATTTATAACTTATAACCACAGAACATCGCCCAGGGGGATATTTTGTGTTGTGGTGGGTGATTTTATATGGGAGGAGAATAACAGTGGGATTCACCCACAGACTACATACTATTGGATGAATTCACCTCGACAGGTAACACCTTGTGGGCAGTGCTTGAATTGAATTGAGGCTACTATTGAATCCACACTATGATTCATGCCACTTGGTGGCCTCCTACCTCAATCAAGGGCGGATCCAGGGAGGGGGGGGAGCTCATGGGGATCATGACCCCTCCCCCATTCAATTCTCTATCCAACGATGCCAAAACGAATTCTGTGGCTCGAATGGTTCTTGAGAAACTTCGAAAAAAACAGCGTCATGTTCAAGTGGATTTTGCAGCTCAAAAAAAATCACGCAAATCTAAAACTTCTTGAATTCAAGCATTTTTTGAGGAAACTGCCAACATTTCCCCATCCATAGTTCACTTTCTAAAAAGGTCATTTATTTCTCTCTAGAATAATGTACAAATGAGCGATCTTGTTCATTTTGCCTCCGAGAAATGAGGAAAAACGGGACGAAAAACATGGAATTTTGGAATTATCTTGCACCTAAGTGTCTGATATGCAAATTTTTCTTTCTGGGTCAAAACTACTCGAATTTCCTCACTCACGTTGTTACGACTGAATCGAGTTTTCAATTCTCTATCCAACGATGCCAAAACGAATTCT